GCTCACTAACAGTCGCGGGAGACCCCCAGCTAACACCACCTAACAGCACAACTCGTAACTACAAAGCATGCGGGCGCAACAGGTCGGTTCCGGTTATTTTTGGGTCCCCCTTCGTATAGGATATTGGTGGGAAAACCCGTAGGAAAGAGACCACTAGGAAGACCAAGACGTAGGTGGGTGGACAATATTAGAATTGATCTTAGAGAGATAGGATGGGATGGGATGGATTGGATTGATCTGGCTCAGGATAGGGAGCAATGGAGGGCTCTTGTGAACATGGTAAAGAACCTTCGGGTTCCATAAAATGCTGGGAAGTTCTTGAGTGGCTGCACAATTGGCAGCTTCTGAAAAATAGCTCAGATCCATGAGTGAGTGAGGTGGATGGAACCTNGTCATGAATGTGATTTAGTTTATGATGATTCTGAAGGTTTGCTTCCTTTCCAAAACATGGCCATAGTACAAGTAAACGGAATAATTGAGTAAAATCGTGTATAGAACTCCAGTCTTTAAGCAACAGGACAAATCAAGTGGACAGTTGACAGATCTGTGTAAGTAGTGGGGGGGGGCAATATGCCTATGTAAGTCTGCTTTACTTCACATCTGCAAAAGTGGCATAAGGCATGTTTCATTAAATTCTATCGATATGCATATTTCTGCTTCCTGTAAGAGAAACTTGTTCATCGTCTTAAGATTTTAGGTTTTCACGGCGGTGACTACGAAAAATGTCTTCTGAGATGTGTTGCCGTGTAAATATTGTGTTAACCGGCGGCAGGTGGCTGCTCACGCTGGTTCATCTCTCGCGGATTTCTAATAGCTTGAAGATGGAGGCGATACGTTCCTCCGAAACGTCTGTTAACATAATATCTACACGGCGCCATATCCCAGAAGACGACATTTTTCTTGTTCATAGTCGCTAACAGAACTTACTATAAAGTAAACGGGAATATATTAGATGCGACTTGAAAATCTTCTGGAGAAATATATCTTCGTAGAAGTCCTACACTGAATGAGGTCTGTACTAATTTTAATATTTCCCCATCAAAGTTCTTAAGAAATTCTTCACTGATATGGCCGGCGTCATTACTATCTGAGCATAATATTTCTATACTTACGCAATGTAAGAAGCAAAGTTGTCCCTGTGCTTAAAAATTAAACACTAGGCCATGGAGGCGTATAGGGGACTGGATATACAGCTCCGCCTTTCTTGACCTCTGCACTAGATGGATGTGATTAGTCAACTTCAAGCCACGGTCACTTTAACATCTGGAAACGAGCCCCCAGTGCCCATTGGACGGTGGGTAGTGGGCAGAAAATCTAGTACTGCAGGGAATCGAACCCGGGCCGACCAGCCCGTAGTCCGTCACTAATGCAATGTAAAGATGCAAAATTTCCCGAATGTTCCTCATTAGTCATGAAATGTCAGAGTCGGGGTTACTTTACGGCTGGCGGTTTACCGCCAAACAGTTCGCCCTGTCGTCAATCCCTTGAGACTCACGACCAATATTTTGTTTTTTCAACTGAACATTTGCGGTCCTTACGCAACAACCTCCCTGATGAGAGGACATGTCTGTTGTTTACAGTTGTTGCTGGTCCTCGCCACTGCAGTCATTTTCTGATCCGAGTCCCGTGGGACTCATGGCCATATTTTACTGTCTCGGATTCGACTCTCCCAACCTGGAGGGTCAATTCCCCGTATTTATATCCCCCACGACAGGGTGTCCCAGTTATACCCCCAGGCACTGCGTTCCCTTTTCGTCGCCTCCTACGGCTCGCAGGGCTACGGTGGAGGTATTCTACCCTGCCCCCCCTACCGCGGGGTAAAAACAATGATGTTAGAGCCCAAGAATGCATGAATTAGGTCACTTTATTATAACAAGCATCTCAAGTTTACTGTGCATTCCACAAGACGTATTTTATTTCTTCTAACAAGAAATAGATTTCTCTGGAAATAGATGGCCTATACCAGATACGTTACCTGTATCTTTGTTCGCAGTTTACCGATGATTTCAAAGCAAAGTTCTCTAATATCCAGTACTTAACAGAACGTTAACAAAGAAGAACCACAAACGAGAGAGGATTTTGCTGGATCTGAGGGACTGTAGCGGTAGTTATGGGGACTTATATCTTCCAGGATGTAACGCCGTGTAGTCTGTTGAAAGCCAGCAAGGCTGTTCCTGCCACCTCTTTCTTTCATGGCTTATTCTCCGATCATGAAGATGAAAGCGACATGTTCTTTCGAAACACTGTGTTGACTTTGACTGATAGGCGTTTTTCCCAGAAGACAGAACTCTTCAAGCGATAATTTAAATTGTCTTAACAAAAATTAAGACTCAAAATGGCTGTCGTTAAGTGCTACAGAATTTATCCCTTAACATCATCTAAACCTGTACAAGATTCCATCTGGTGGTACAGCATGACACTTACTGTTCTCTAGAACATGTTTCTAAAATCATTCAATGGATGGCGCTACGATTAAAAACAATAAACTATGCTTTCTCCTACTTCTCGTAAAATGTGTCCCTGTGTTTAATTAAGCACTATGCCGTGTAAACATATGGGGAAGTGGACGTATAGTTCCACAAATTTTGGCCTCGGCAGTACATGGAGGTAAGTGTTAATTCAGGCTCCGGCCGCTTTATCCCCGAAGAAATAGCCTCCATTACCCGTTGTATATGAGGCTGAATGGACCTCAGAACCGGTCCGAACAGAAGAGAAAATTCTGCCATGACAGAAATCGAACCCGGGCCGTCCACCTAATAACTTTTCGAAAATGCATAAACTGAAGAGTGTATGCTTATTATTATTATTATTATTATTATTATTATTATTATTATTATTATTGTTGTAAATTACGAGTATATCACGAATGTGTCGAATTAGAAATGAAACAATTAGAACAAAAATTGGGATGAAGAAAGTCCTGTTACAGGA